CATAACTCAAGCAAATACCTTAGTCATTCGAACCTCTCATATTCAATCTTTGCCGCGGCTTATTTGTGACAGTTACTCTCTTCTACTCTTCTATTTTTTCATAATGGATATCGTTATGTTTCGCTACCATCTATAATTGATGGTAACTACTAACAATAAGCTGCAGATTTAACCGTACATTCATCCACCATTTTAACCGTACAAAATGGGACAGATGTCGATGGCAAACGTTCCCGAAGATACGATAAAAGATGAAGGACTTGTAGCGGTGGTGACTGGGGCAAACAGCGGCGTTGGCTATGAGATTGTAAAAGGACTGAACATGGAAAAAGTTAAGGTATAAAGCTTTCCACTAATGTGTCGAAGCTTTGATTTTGCGCAGAAGTGTAACTTATTTTCAGGTTTACATGCTATGTCGAGATGAAGGTCGTGCAACTACTGCAAGAAATAGTTTGATAGAGGTAATTGTTGGGAGTTATAGGAGACCTGCTTGTAGTTTTTCATCTCCTTACCTTATGTGAAAGCAGAAGCATTCAAGACTTTGTTGAAAATACTTGGAACAGAAATGGAGGCGTCCAAATTGAGAATATCGCTAGAATGCGAATGAATTTACAGGCGGGATGCGATGCAAATCGGCTTATCATTGTAAAATGTGATCTGGCAGATTTCAACAGTATTCGTGCATGTGTCAAAGAACTGTCAATGAGTGAGTCCAAGAACTTCTTTCACTTTCATGGAGGTTTTTTCCCGAAAATCCGATTGTGTTTTTCTTATAGTGGAGGACAAAATCGACATTCTTATCAACAACGCTTCCGTGATTTTTCTCCCGAGCTACCAGAAGACTGTCGATGGGCACGAAATGACTTGGCAGTCTAATTATTTAGGCATGCAATCATTGTTCTTCTAGAGATCATTTTAATTCCACCACCCCGAGCTTTGTTCGCACATCTCTTCCCTTTTTCCCGGAATGAATAACCCTTGCTTGCTAAATATACGTCTTATGTTGATTTTAATGCTTATGGCGTTCGAGATTGCGATGCCATGAGCTCTAATATACCCTTACCAAACTCTAACCAAATCCGTAATTTCCCACCGGATACGACAAAATTCTTGTGAGCAAGTAGCAGAACAGTGTCTTAGTCGCATCCTAACATATTCCATACCAAGCCGTAGACATAGTAGCAGGACTTAGTTCACCTAAAAAATACATTAGCGCAATTTTAGAGACCTTTTTTCAACAAAGCTTCTTAGTGTTTTGACTGCGGCATGATTTAGCATTTCCAGGACCATTTCTCCTAACACATCTCCTTCTGCCAGCTTTGGCCAAAGCTCATGCAGCAAGAATCATTTTCGTCGCCTCAGTGCTGCATCGCTACAGCGATCCGTTGAATCTTGCGACTGTCGACGACGAACAGAGCTTTGGACGTATCGGTCCATACAATCGCAGCAAACTGGCTATTGTGAGTATAAGAAGATTCGTAGATTCGTTTGCTCGTGGAGATTCTCTTATACAAATT